AGTCCCCGTGATTCGAACTGGGAGGGTAGGGTAGAAAATGACCAGAATTTCAAAAGTTCTCCGACATGGCTCAGAAGTTACAAAAAATATATAAAGAGAAAAATAGAAAATAAAGAAGATACATATTTCATATAGTTTTCGGTCTCTTGCATCAGAATCAAGTCACGCTAAGTCACGCGATTTACTCTTCAATGATAATCCTTACCCGAGAAGACTGGGACGAAAGTTGGTCGAGGAAGTACAGACTAAACCCTCGCGTGGAACAATACATTTTATCTAACATGGAAAAAGTTGCTCTGGTAGGTTTTTTGTCTGTCCTTATATAAAAAAAAGTGTAGCTGATCTTTTTTACTTTCAGATGAGTACATTCGTTTTGTTTTTTATTCAAGAGGCAGTCATCTGTTTTGTAACCTTCCACCTACATCGATTAAGGGGATGCAACGAGGCCTGTTCTGGATGTTTAACTTGATCCTAAAACTTTCCATTTCGCGAACTTTCATATTTGTCGCAAATGCACATTTTGGCCGTAGGAAATGGCATTATGCGTTTGGTAGCCATGCTTGTCAAATTTCAAAAGCTGATGGCTATAAATTATATCCTTGCTTGCTACTGTATTAGTGTCGTTCGTGATTTTTGTGATTCAATCCTCTTTACTTTACAGGTGACAGGCGGTAATCGTGGCATTGGCTATGCTATTGTTAAGAGATTGTGCAAAGAGTTTGATGGAGTAGTTCTCTTTACTGGTAAAATAGTTTCATGAGTAATTTGTCTTATGAGATATTCCAATTTTTCCAAATTTTATAATGTTGTCAGGATAATATTTTTTGTTAGTCTACATGTGAGTGGAATTGGTTGTATTATCTAGCAGGTTGAGAATCAAAACATATAACTATAGCCTTGGTTCTACTAGCTCGTGGACCTTGTTTAAGGTTTTTTAATTAATAGTTGATAATGATAATGGTGATGATGGTTATTAAATGATGTTGATGACAGTGATCATATCATACCGGATCTTTACTTAACCAATGAGGGCTTAAGATAAATCACATGTATTACCCAATTTTTACAGCAAGGGATGAGACTACTGGTTCAAAAATCTGTGGTGAACTTAATAAGGAATTAAATGTAACAAATATTCAGCACCATCAACTCGATATCACATCCCAGGACAGTATCAACAAACTCTACACTCACGTTCAGAAGACATTTGGGGGATTGGACATATTGATAAACAATTCTGGTGTCTTGCTCAAGGTGGGAACTTAATGTATTGTAAGGTATTGGCATGGCCCATGTTAATCCCTTAACTCCTGAGATCTGATTGTTAATTCTCTCTTCTAGCTGCCACACATTTCCTTGTAAATTAGTTCTGAGGATTTGGTGTTGGATCAAGATAACAACTTTAACCTAATACATTTGAGTATTCTCATTACCATGCACACTGGATAGTGCATGGATATTGTAGGGAGAAGTTACTTGTTAATCACTTCTGGGAGTTAAAGGGTTTAGTAGTTTTTCTAGACATTTTGTTTATCATCAGTAACCTTCATTTGGTGCTAAAATATGTGCAGGTGTTTGTCCATAGAAGTGTAGAAACAAATAGTTTAGCAGGAGTTAAGCTCAAGGAAAACTATGAGCTTTGCAATTATATCAGTATGTTCTATTATCTTCAATTATATTTCAAACAAAGCCTTCTCCCAAATCAAATGTTAAGTTTGTAAATTTATTAATATAAACTGAGAAATATCTCTGGTGTTCCCCTGTTTTCGTTGGGGCACATTCCTCCATGTGATGCATTTAGACCAATAGCATTGGAGTAAAGCTATTTTATAGATAGCACTGAATAATGTATAATTTCCAGATATTTAATTGAGTTTAATTCAGTTTACTGGTGTAATGGGAGGATATTGGGAGAACACAAGAAAAGTGTTGTCATGTTGAGTCAATCAGGAGGTTAGTCCCCTCCCCCCCCCCCACCCTCCTGTCCCCCCTCTAACATTTCATCAATATTTCCATGACATTCCACTGGTATCCATTAATTTTTCTGGGTGTAGGAAGACAATATAGGAGTAAGGAGTCAGAGACAGTCACAATCAGAGTAAATATTCAAAGTTATTAATTGAATCCAACAACAGAAAACTGTGCCGTATGTTGAAAGAGCTGAGACAACTATAGAGACAAACTATTTTGGAACACTGAACATGTGTAAGAGCTTCTTCCCTCTCCTTCGACATCATGCCAGGTATTCTTTCTAACTAAGTGATATTATTCTTTATAACAGCTGTACAGAATTTTTGCACAGGCCAAAATGGCCAGGAATCACATTTTATGTCACTGTCAATTTTGTTGGTTGAATAGTTCTTATTAAGTGACTGCAAGGTCTGTACTGCAAGTAACAGACCTAGTTATTCCACCTTCAGTTTATGACCCAAGAGCACTGCATGCACAGCATGTTTTCAAGGAACATCATAGTTCATGGTTTTACTGTTTTTCTTTTTTGTTTGCTCCATTTTTACTTGTCAGGGTGGTTAATGTATCCTCTGGGCTTGGAGACTTGCGTTGTGTTTCACCAGCACTGCGAAAGAAATTTTCCTCCCCAAATCTAACTGTTACAGAGATTACATCTCTCATGGAAAAATACAGGAGGTACTTTTCAAGTTTATATGAGACAAATTAAAATCACTTTAACCTGTTAATGCAATGATAATTTTGATCATGCATTATTTAGAAGTTGTTTGCTCATTAACTTGGAGGTATTATTGAAATTAGTGTCCCATGCAAGTTCAAACCCACATACAGTGTGTTTATTGGTAATAACATGAATAATTATCTGGCTATTCCACACTGTGATGTTTTATATTTGGATGTGGAGGATGTTCTCTTGTCTCTTTTTACCATTCTCTTTTGACTATATTTCATAATAAAAACCCTGCATGGATGATGTTAGAAATCAGTAGGAGTGTTCAGCCCCACTTTGTGATCTTGTTGAACATTATTAATATTATTCAAAGGCAATATTCACATTCTTTCTACAAAGGGTTTTTCAATTTTAAGTCTTCCTCTCTGGCACAAGACAGAGCCATGGGGTGACTTAGAGTATTGCTACCTTCTCTATCCCTGGATAGGATGCTAGTTCATCACAGGTTAACCCCCCATCCCCACCCCACCCCATAGCTTTTTGTCAGATTTCCTAGACAGTTCCCCAGTATCCATTTCTACTTCAGAGTGTAGAGAGGGACTGTAAGAGTAAAGTGTCTTACCTAAGAACATAACACAACAACTCCAGCCTGGACTGGAGGGAGACCTTTTAGCTATTATGGCCACAAAGGTTTCTTAGTGGAATTTGCAGTCACTCTTTCCCATGGGGTATTACATCTGCATACTGTCCTTTCAGTAACTGCACAAATGGCATTCATTCTGACTAGCATATATTTTCAATTCTGAGGAAATTCTTATTTTCTTCTATAGGGATGCTAAGGAAGGGAAGGTGACAGAGAATGGTTGGCCAGATGATTCTTCCTCATTCACTCCAGGTGAATTATAGATATATATTAATTTACTTTCTAAACTGACTTGAACACACTACAACTTCAAACACTATTCATCTCTCTACATTGTTGTCATAAAAAGTTCAAAATCAGTATTTTCTCATATCTGGCAACAATCATAACTGCACTGATTTTGAAAATAATTCTCTCCTCAGCTTACAGCGTCTCCAAGATAGGCGTAACAGCTATGAGTATGGTACAAGCAAGAGAATTAAAAAATGATCAGCGTGAAGGAATATTGGTTAATGCTGTGAGTATTGACAAGACAGACAGATCCCTTTTTCTGTGCCTAAATTGTGCTAAGAAATTTGTGTGTTCTCTAAATCCTGTTACAACATAACGGCCAATTTATGACAAATTTAGGTTTGTCCTGGCTGGGTGCGAACTGACATGGGTGGCCCTAATGCAGAGCGAAGCCCAGAAGAAGGTTAGTTCACTATTTATATAAACTTTTTTCACAATTTTCCTTTCCATTCTCTTTTACTCTTTCCCTTTTTTTGTTTTTTTTGTTTTTTTTTTGGTCCCATTTTCTTTCTTTGGCTTTCACTCTGTATTTTTTTCTCTATTCTCTCTCCAACCCTAGTGGCAGGCAACCTGCGATGAATATTCATCCCTTTAGGAGAAGTCGACATTTTTCTTGTTATTCCAAGCTACAGAAACCACAGATAAGCATTCTCAGTGATGGGAAATAATGTTCTAAAGATTTACCCCCATTTTTAATCCATTTATACCTGTCCAATTCTATTTACTTTTCCTCAGGAGCAGACACTCCAGTTTATTGTGCCCTTCTTCCCAAAGGAACGACAAGTCCTAATGGAGAGTTTTTGCAAAACAGGAAAATTGTCCCTTGGCTTCCAGGCAAATTATAGTAATTTGTTTGAAAAGCCATACTTAGGTTTTTGCATAACATGCTTGCTAAAGAGATTAACCCTTCAACTCTCATGATCTGATTATCGATTCTCCCCTTTAGACTGCTACGCATTTCCTTATAAATCAGTTATAAGAATTTGGTTTTGGATAAAGACAAAAACTTCTACCTGTTAAGTTTGAGTATTCCTATTACCTGTTTGCTGGGTAGTGTATAGATATTGTTGGGAGAATTTGCTTGTTAATCACTTCTGGGAGTTAAAGGGTTAAACTTGATTCATCTGTACCAGTTAGTTCGTTTTGGTTGGCAGTTGAAATGTGAACGATAGCATTTTTGTTTATCATCATTCGTGAATTTTTAAAAATTTATTTTTTAGGGGGGAGGGGTAGGGGTAAGACTACTTAAGGAAGATAGCGATAGAATGTGACCGAAGAGTAGTTTCTCACTTCAGTGTGTGGTACCAATAAGTGTCAAATAAACCTTTGGAAAACAAATATTCTCGCAGCATAATGAAACACGCTAAAGACAAAATGGAGGCTTGATTACTAGAGCTCAAAAGCTTGGTTTGACCATAAATGGATGTAGCTTTGTTATAAATTGTTAGGAGGATTCTTGTGTGTGTATGTGAAGTGTTGTTGTTTGAAATAACCATTCACTTTCCATTTGTCACTTACAACTGTTTTGTGTAACAGATACCTTCCTCAGAAAATAAAACTTTCGCTTCAATATTAAGAATTCTTTTCCTAAGTACATACCATCTTTTGTAGACTCAACAATAAATGAATCATGTTCGTACAACACTTCCGAGAAGACTTTGGTGGTAAATTTGTTCTGTTTTCTTTCTTAATTCTTACGAATGTCTTCTTTGCGTTTGTATCAAAACCTAGAAGAATTTTTTTGTCTCGTCGACTGAAACTTACTTTGTATTTGGTATTTCAGTTACCAAGTTGAATTTTCATGTACGCTGCCGCTGTGATTCGATATGATTTGACTTTAGCCAAGCTATTCCCTCGTATTCGCTGGTAAAATAATTTCGATCGCAAAACTGAGGAGATTTTTATTATGCACTTTGGTTGTAACCAACAAACATGCCCTGTCAAATGAGAGTACCTTCAACGAAAACAGAGTAATGATAACAAAGAAAAGTACCAAGAAACGAGTAGCGAAATAACAAATTCTGGAATCGTTTATTTGCTTGAGTTTTGTGTTATGGCACAGTTAGGCAGATGATGTAACGATTTAATTCCCTGTCGTGCGTCAAAAACATGTGGTATTCAACTTTAGAAAACACCCGGCAACTTCGGTGATACAGAACAGTCGAACGCACAAACGTTATGACTTTTGAAACATTGAGTTTGCCTTGGTTTTTAGCGAGATATCGATAAATGATTGCGTCGCGCAAAAAGAAAGTTTATTTGCTTCTGTCGTGGATGAAAACGTTATCAAATGACTTGGAACTTTGAGACGTGAGAAAGGTGGGGGCAGCTTGCCTTTAAAACGAGTTGCTGTAAACAGTTCAGTGTGCTGAAATCGCTTGATCAATAAATAATGTAATACGTACTTGCGAAACGTTTCTGACGACTTTAGCGATTGAATGAACCAAAAAGAAAGGAAATATTGGTCCAATATCACTCCCAGAATGTCCTTAACGATGTGATTAGATGAGGTTAAAACAAACCGATTAATTTACGAGCACAATGCGAGGAAACGTCTGCGAAACAATACGTCCATCTGCTGAATGAGTTCTGTATTTTTTATCTTCTAGTTTCTTGTTACACCTTTTTCTTCCATGTGGTATATCTTTAAAAATTACATTACAGCATTTTGTTTAATTAAGAGCACTTTGTTTTCTTATGAGAATTTTCCGCCCAATTTCCGGCAGGAAAACTGGAATGAAAGCAAATTAACTTCGAAATGGTTATTTTGCTATTCATTCATAACAAGTTAAAAATTGTTTAACTTTACAGCGCGAGGAAATTTCCTCGAACTTTTTTTATTTAAACCTTTAGCCAGCGTGGCACCGGGATTAATTAGACGGGATGTAACAAAGACTGAAGGATTAGTGGGCAAACAAAGTGCAATTTTTATGTTAATAGTTTTCAGATTTAATATTGCCCTGAAAACTGCTTTGTTTATTTTAAACACTTGTGAATATAGACCTCTACGCTTACATCGTAGCCATTTCGTTTTATAGTTCTCCTATTCTTATGGAAAAATCTTCGACTTCTCCCTTAGTTCGTTGCCTAGACGAAGTACCCGGCTACGAGGAACGAAAGAACGACGTGGTGTTTTGCGGTTCAGACGCTCAACAACATGTTGTATTTTTCCCTGGTGATGTTCAGGTGAGGTCAACAGATTTTGTAGTTGGAAGCGTTAGGCTGAAAACGCCGAAGAATACTTGATCAGAACACAAGCCATTCAACTGTGATGTACGCGCGTGCAACTTCACGCCATTTCCAATTTCTCTATTTTTCGTTTGTGCGCTAAGTTGCTTAAGAAGTATTTTTCACGGTAATGTGATTCTGTTGTCTTCCATCGCGCAGTTCTGCTTTGAATTTTTTCCTCAATCCGACTTCTTTTCAGTTTCCATACCGACTCGAATTTTGGTTTGAACAGAATGCAGACCATCGCAAAATGTTTAAGAAACTCTGTATATAGTGTAACTCTTTTTATTTGAATGAGACATAAATGTAATGAACTGAACTAAGATGCTTTGTTTATCGAGCTGTTGAGTTTAACAGCTTCAAAATGGAAAGCTCTGTACCGAACGATTGATTCATCAAGCAATATATTCGATAAAAAGCAGATTTTATCAAACTGCATCATTGACAACGGAGCACAAACTGCTGACACAATGCAATTGATATTTTTTCACTGGTTGAATTAGTTTTCAACACATTCATCGAACTATCAGTACACTGTTCACTCCTTCAAACAAAGTCGTTTGTTTTGTGTTTTATATGTAATCCCTCAAGGCTTTGAAATACGTCAGTTTATTGTGTCAGATGTTCTTGTTATATCTTGTGGGTTTACAACATTTTACCATCAATGCACGAATTTCCGAAATGATCGATTTCGCTCGAGAAACCTTAACGATTTGAAAGTAAAACTTCACTTCCGTAAAACGAGCTGAACGCAACTTCTGAAAAAATAAACAAAATTTGAAAGCACCTAATTGATGGGTGTAGAATTACGCATCTCTCGTTTTGAATTTCCTTGTTCGCGACCTCGATTTTTTCAGTGCTATTTCGAAAGACAATTTTATTGTTTTCAAAACGGAACGTTTAAGCAGAGGTTAAAAGGATAAAATTCAGGCCTCGAGTTTGAATCGCACGAGACAATCGTCTATTGTGAAATCCTGTGTCTCCTTGCCCTTTTCATGGCTTAGATTATTTTGCAAATGAAAATATAGTTCTCCTTCTTTCTACAATCCCACTCCAATTCATTTTACATCGTGTCTACTTTTCTGCTTTGTCTCGAAAAGTTACCGAATAATCGGTTTATTACCTTTGTCCAAGACGGTGTCCAACATTGACAACGATGTTGGCAGTTCAGAAAACAAGAGTAAGAATTTGAAACTTTTCTTAATTATCTTTGAGCGTTCGATTGCCATACTTAAAATTTTGACAAATGTTGATCAAAGATGACAATCGAGAGAATAAACGCTAAAAGGTATTAATAAAGGTTAATACCCATATACACAGAGTCTTCGCGGCAATTTGTGCTCCTCAAACATTCCGCTTTCAGCCTTACAAGCTCGATATGCGCAACAGGAACTGTCATCAATAGAGCGTTTTCAACTCAAATTTCTTGATTTTCAGGATTATGAAGAAAACATGGAGAGTCACAGAGATAATAAGAAATGGAAGCAGTGGAGTTTGGAGTCTACGGCGAAAATATTAGAAAGAAGATTTCCAAATAGCTTCGTATGGGTCATTCGTCCTTCAAGATATCATCAGAGCACTTTCGCGTGTTATCATAACTTTGTTGAAGCTAACCTGCTCGGTGTCCCTGATCATACAAATCACGATTACGGAGCTTTGTTTCACTTAAGAGCATTGCTGGAGTCTGCGGTGAAAAAGCGTAAGTATTCAGAGTCCTTTTGTTAAGATTAATTTCCGCCAAACGAACAAGCCCAGATTTGTGTTTGTTTCGCTTGCTGTCCAGTGGCGATTAGTCTTGAAAATTTGCGTCACATTTAAACCAATCAGAATCAAATTGTGCTCCACTCGAAACTTGATCACGTGCTCTTTCCCGCGCTCGGAACAGTTTACTTGTTTGTACTAAGAGCTGTCCTTGACTTCTTCTTTTTCTTCCTCTGTTCTGATTGGATTAGCTCTCCCTATTTTTTGTAGCTCAGATTTCTCTGATGTTCCTTGTCTACATGTTTTTTGTGGAAAACTTACCCCTGACTTTCCCAAAAATACTAGTCGCAAATTTTCAGCAGTTTTCAATTTAGTGTCAAAGGTAATCCGGGATTGCTCTAATTTTACTTACCTTTACTCTGTGATTGGTCCGGCAAACTCATCGCGCCATCCTCTCAACCAATCAGATGCAAAACTAACAACAATCGCAACCTGGTCATAGGCGTTTTCCCGCGCCTCAATCAGGCTGATGATAATGTAAACTTGTGTTCTGATTGGTCGATGGGATTACTTTGGTTTTGGTTTTTCGACATTTGATTGAAAACTGTTCGCTTGTCAACCAACGCAACCTGTTTACTCACCATATTTTTTAATTGAGGACGTTGGCATGTGTTCTCTCTTGACATTTATCTTTTTTCCGATGGTCGTTGCAAATTTTTTAGCTATACAATAATCTGGTCATAATTGAAAACTCGGACTAATTTTTCCTAGAATTATCAACCCAACCTTTAAATTCCTTTCCTTTTATCCATGCAGTTTTAGATGTCCCGAAAGAAGAGGAGGACCCCACGTTTGATTTCCCAGTGATTCTTGTTGGTTTTAGTAAGGGCTGTGTTGTTCTAAATCAAATTATTTACGAGCTCTACATGGTGTCCGCTGGAGTGGACTCACGTCTCAATGAATTTGCATCGCGTATTAGTGCCATGTATTGGTTGGACGGCGGCCATAGTGGCGAGTCGAACCTGTGGGTAACAGATGAAAAATTTCTTTACCACCTGGCTACTCACGTGCCAAGAATTCGTGTGCACGTGACGCCTTATCAGATCGGGGAAGAAACGCGGCCGTCGATTAAAAAGGAGCTAAAGAAGTTTGAGGACAGTCTTCGTTCGCTTGGCGCGAATATCAAGGTCAAATCTCATTTTCAAGGCACGCAGCCATATCTCGCTTTCCACTTTAAACTTCTTGAAAGTTTTTAGTGGAATTTGCAAATTGATTTGAAATATCTGGTTACTTAAACAGAACGACAAAAACTCCTGACTCCTTATTGAGTGTTTTTGAGAAGCTCCAGGGTTGAAAGAAAGAATGGGATTTGCACCGAAAAAAACAGATACAGCAAATGGGACCGGAAGATATCACAAGCGGAAATAATGGGTGTGAAAATGATGTCCTATGATCAGGAAACACTGCAGCCCCTCACTTGAACAAAGACACACCTACAGCTTATTTTGATACAACTATTAAGCCATTGATATTTCAAGTTGCGTTCACGTTGCAATTACCCTGAAGGGCATACACGTTCTAGATTAAAACATGTGACGATTCTAATCGATAAAAGCAAATGTTTTTCGGCGAAATTGTAAATAACATTTGCTTAAGGATTGCTGTGAGCCCCTCAGCACCCTGCTTTTTTTTTATTTATTGAGGGTTAATGGAGGGAGATTTGAAAATAATCCAGGGATAAGCCAAACATGTAAACCTTGGCAACAGAACCCTTTCACTCGTGTAATTTTTGTGATGCAGGCCGCAAGCGAGCCCTCGTTCCCAGTGTTTGAGCGACTGGCGAAGATGTCGCCTTAGACAAAAAACAAAAAAAATTGATAATTAGGAGACTGAAAAAATTATTAACATACGAACTTTCGGCTTGCTTTATTTCTCCCTAGAAAAGAAGAGTTTGTTTTCAGACGATCTAGTAACATATATCAACGAAATGAAAACAAAACACAAAGCTTTCAGGCCTTGTTCACCTCTTGCAAGAATGAGTCTGTTACAGGCTGTGTAAAGCCAAATAGTTTGGCATTGAAAATGAAATATTACGTTTATCAGTAATACAATGACTAAGGCAAAATATCTTCCTAGAATGTTTCGTATAGTATATTTTCAAGTGAAGCCAGCGAACATTTTTTGCAAATATTTACAATTGACTTTTGCTTGTTTGTTGTACAAAGACGGCGGAAATGAATGTACGCAAGAGAAATTACAGAATGTAAAAGAAGACCTTACAAGCAATATTTCGTTTCAATGAAGTGTCCCAATATGTTTTGCATTTAGCAACTTACGCTCAATTAAAGGCTCTGCGGAATGTTCTGGAAGCAAAAGAATGCGTTTTTTCCTTCTATTTTTATGTTTTACAAGCCTTTTTTCTTCTACAAAAGGTCGTTCTGAACTACTCGACTTAGCACGAAGAACACGTTCAGTCTTAGATCACTACGTTGGAAAACATTCTTCTCTAATGCATATAACAATCGGTCTTGTGATAAATTGATTCTCTCACTAAAAGCAACTGGCCGTATATGTCAGTATTGCTTTCTTTCCTCCATTGCTAGAAAAACATACTGTTAAGTAATTTATCTATTGCACCAAAACCTCTTCAATTTTGTTTGCAAATCCTCGTTTACAAACTCAAAAAACAGATGTAATACAAAAAGTGAGATATGATATCATACTTGTTTTATCACGAAGTTAAACTGGATGGCAGTGAATTGGATATTACAGCATGTACATAATTTTCTTTCATCGTTTATATATAGTTTTTCTCTTAGGATCTGTCTGCATTTTACGTTGAAGTTTTGAAAAATGTACTTATAAAAAACAATCTTTTGTGTACCTCATCGATTCGTATGACTTCCAACTTGTTAATTTTGATTAAATGTACAGGATAATATACTAATTTAACCTTTTTACATAGCAAGTCTCGTTTAGTGACGCGGCAATTTTCATCGTTTTGACGCTAATCAGATTCAAGCTGTTTGCCTTATTAGAGTGTTTTGCTTTCCCCCGACAGATGCTTAATGAATTTCCGCTAGATAACCGAGATATTTGTTTTCAATTGTGATTTCGGTAATGGGAACTCTCAATTTTCCTGCATGCCCCTGGCCGGGCGAACTTCCTTTAAATGCTGCTAAGAAATGCTCTTGTCCTGGTCTTTATGCCTAACCGTTTGCGATGCCAAAAAAAATTGCACTGCAATGAAATTCTTACTTTACAATTTATCCTATATTATCCTATATCAGACAACAAATTTGATCCGAACCTGCGAAATTGTCCAAGTTTTTGTTTACATGCAGATTATCTATTTTCGCGATTAAAAAAAATTAAAAAATTAGTTTAGGTTGTGACTCGAATCACGTTTGCCGACGATCTCACCTGAAGCAACAAAAATCACATTTTTGCCTCCATTTTCTCTACTTATCAGTTTTTGGATGCTGGAGGCAATCCATTTTGTTAGCGTTTAGCTAAATGCCGATTTTAGAAGAAGTTGACCGAAAGTAAGAAACAAATATTTACCCAAAACAGCATGAGACATAAGAGCCAATGGGAAACTTTGTGTAAATAGCTGCTGTGACTTTGCGTTGCCTTAACGTCCGGGCCTGAGCATTTACTGAGTTTCTCTAACAAAGAGTTTGAGAGTTCAGGCAGGTAATCATTCCAAAATGCAACTTTTAAAGGCTTGAAATCTTTTGACATCTCAGGGTTGGCTTCCACGCGGAGATACATTTGGTCATTTGGAAGGAATTGACTCCATTTGATTCCATGAACAGGATGCGGTGTTGTATTGCCAAACTTGACAAAATTTGTGTAGACTGTTACCATGAAGTCACTGATGTTTCTGTCGACCTCAGTGTAAGGGTGTGGCGAAGATCCATTCAGAAGCGGAACTCCAAATACATACGCTGTGATGTCACCATGAGCTACCCCTTCCCAGCCTTGTTTGGGGCTGTGATCAGAACGATGCTGGAACTCATAGAGCCATGTTGGAGATTCCTGGCTTTGGTAGAGAAGGCTTGCATATGTCGGTGCCACAATGTAGTAGTCTGTCAGGGCATCGATAATACTTTGGCGAATCTTCACTGAATTGTTTTGTCCTGGCCAGTGGGTGTACTGAAATTCGATAGCGTCAACTATAAGTGGCTTATGGTCTTTGGAAGGCCCCATCCCAATAATTATATGTTTTTCAATGCTCTCTTTAAAAATCTTGTTATTGTATTTTGATAAGGATTTGTTCAGCAAGAAAGAACCTTCATCGCTCACGAACCCAGCAATGGTTGGTAATTTTTGAAATTTTCCAGCCCTTCTGAGGTTTATTGGAGAATCTTCCAGGAAATGTTTGTCCACTACAGGGAAGTAAAACAAAAAATCGTGTGCCTTTTTCAAGATATCTTGCGCTGATTTTGAGCGGAGACACGCTAACATGTGGTTCTTTTCCTTAACACAGCTTAACTCCTTAGCAAGCCTCATCGAAGCCTCGGTCACACCTGATTCTGCGTGGAAGGCAAATGGGGATAGATCGCTTCCACTCTCGCTTATTACTCGATGAAAAAGACCCTTTGACAGGGTCGAAAGAAGATGAAGATTAACGCTAGCACCTCCTGCGCTCTCGCCAAGAAGCGTCACCTTAGAAGGATCGCCACCAAAGGCTTCAATGTTCCCCTGGATCCATCTCAGTGCTTCAACTTGATCCAACATTCCATAATTTCCTGGTGCAGTGGAATCGCCAGTTGAGAAGAAACCAAAGGGGCCCAAGCGATATTGAATACTGACAAGAATGATTCCACGAGTAGGTAAATATTCCCCAGGTGACACGACGCGTACGGGTGTCCCAGCGAAAAACCCTCCGCCATGAATGTAGGCGAGCACTGGATAACGCTGACGAGATATCGTTGCATTGTGGGGTGTATAGATATTAAGATACAGGCAGTCCTCCCCAATGTTTTCTTCAGCCTCCGCGAATCCTTCCCAAGCCTGCCGGATAGAAACATTGTAATGGTGTATCATCTGCATACAGATGCTTCTAAATTGTGTCGCTTGGCGGACGCCTTCCCATCCCGGGTGCGGTTGAGGTGGCGCAAACCGTAGCTCATCAATTGGCGGTGCAGCGTAGGGAATTCCCAGAAATTTATGGATAGCTGTTACAGACCCGTGGGCGTTTGGAATTACCTGAGTTAGCCCCTGAAGGGCGCCTAGCTTAGTTTTGATGACAACACCTGGGTCTACGGCTTGATTCGCGGGAAACAGCATCGCCAAGAACACCGTAAACAGTATTCTGCGCGGAGCATGGATTTTCAACGCCATCTTTTCCGTGACTGGGGCGGCGATCAAATGGCTGTCTGGTAAAAAGCTTGTGATCTTTGAGCGTCGCTCACCTGTCGACTTGCTGACGAAACAATCTTTAAATGCCCTGACGAGGTAATTTCAATCGGTTAGTTTGTTTTGCAACTTCGCCAATTTAACGGAAATTGTCGTATATCTATCCTATTGATCTGACCGACAGGGGGTACCAAACAAATGTTAAGCAATCGCGTCGATAATTGAATTGAACACCTTTCCCCAAATCATAATTATTTCAATGCCTCCTGGTAATAAAAAGGAATCATTTAGTTTTTTTTATTTTTCGCCCTGAGTGCTCAATATCGCGATATCAATTGTGTTTTTGAGGTGAAATATTTGAATAAATTACTTACACGAATGACATGGAAAAGTCAACACGTTTTCAAACCTTCCATCTGTCCCATTTTATATCTCTTTTTTTTAATGTTAAACTTACTACCTTAATCATCCTGAACTATCATTGGTAGTAACACATTATAAATAGGTAAATGAATGAATTAATATCAACAGTAAGGGAAAAATTTGATTGTTTTGTTAAGCAGAACTTACTGCTGGCCAGAAGACAGCAATGTTACAAGTTGCATGCTGTTAAAATGTGTTGACTTGAATTGAAGTAATGAATTCAAATGCACGGTGTGAGTTCCGGAATTGTAAAAAATGTTTGTGTTAACTGCAATTAATTCATTGTGCAAAGTGTTTTTAATTACAATTCAGCTCTTGGCTGGAGATTTGGCAGCTAATGTTTTTTTCAGTGCCACAGCAACCTCAATTCGGCATCGAAAGAAGCTTGTGTCTGTGCCTTTATTAAACGAAGTTGTGTTTGTCACTTCGTTTCCCAATTTTTTTAAACATTGGAGAGGGGTAAATATTCAGTCTTTCCAACTTAATGGAGGAGAAATAATTTGATTTTAAAGTAATAGAGAAATCAAACGTCAGAACACTTTTTCACTAAAACTATCAGTTACAACGCTTAAACAAAAGTTATTCCAGATTGTGCGACAAAATAATTAGGGAATCTCAATCATTATTTGATTTATAAAACAGTTGTTTGGATAGAACCCATCATAATAACGTTAGGAGCAATAAGGCATTTGTAAAAAGTGGAATCAAAAGAATTTGCGAACTTTCTGAGCTTCAAAATTTCACTTGCACCTTGTATAACGTTACTGACGTAACCTTGCTTTTACAAACAATGGAACTGTGATATTATTCAAGACACAGTGAAACACTTAGACTACAAGAATAGATGTTAACTATCTAACCCTTTTATTGCATGATATAACCACTAACACATGTATGCAAAGTTCATTTAGGCAAAGCACAGAAAACTGAGAGAAGGGTAATTTGTAAGAGTCGGCGACATTTCCGACGGAGGCGTTCTGACGCGGCACGCCACGGGATGTGGCGCGAAAAGGTACATTCCGCGCGTTTTTTCCCGCCAAAATTGTTATATCGAGTTTCGATTAGTTCAGTCTTTTCTATGCCTTACTATATTTAACTACCGAAAAAAAAGAAAGAAATTATGATTTTGGTTTCTTGATTTAGTCTGTGTGTTTGCTGTACCAACAACCTCGATTAATCTGCTTTTAAATTAATTCAAAGGTAGAAATACATGCATGTGGTTAATAGTCCCGCAGTGGTTGTTACGCACAGGAAGGTAATTAATAGTACCACAGCAAACCCACAGTAGGGTGGCTAGTTTTGTTTTCGTGGGACTTACGACCTGCACTTGCAAAGAGATTATCGGAAGTCATTCACGCCCCCTCAGCTGACGAGAAAAACTATTCATGAAATGAATTTCTGTTTCGATGCTCGTGTTTTCAAGGACAATTTTAATGAATCAAAAGGTAATGTTATTAATGTGAACAAACTCTTAAAAACTTTTGAAGAGTTCGAAGTCCCTTTAGTTATTTGGAATCCTCTATGCCGTCAGAATTCAGAGAATAGTGAAAAATCTGCGTACTCCCAACAGATGTTTTTCTCGTGAAACTGAAGCAAATGAGTGTGTTTTGAATTTTCATACATTTCTTAGTTTACCGGCCTAAACGATGCGCTTCAGTTAGACTAATTAAATTATGGGCGACTTAATTTCGTGAAGGCAAAAACATTTGACATTTTTAACTTAATAAACCTGAAGCCTTCAATACCAAAACATTTTGCCGAACACCCCCGCCAGACTTCAAAGGGCAAATGACGTAAGCACAGCCATCCAGAAAGGAGGAACCCTGGGGGCGAGAAATGACGTCTCCGTTCCCAGGGATAGCGGTGCTTGGGAGATCTTGGGATGTAAGCCGACTCATTGTGAAAACCGAAAAAAGACAAAGGGGCTAAACTCGTGCCAATTGTTTGAGGTGTAGGTGTGAAATTTGATATGCAGGATTTTCGTGGAGATATTTTCAAATTTTCAATCAGCTGAGCCCATATCAGACCTGCGGATATTTGTATCACTTTTCTGAAACCAAAATTACTCCAACAATATGAGCGCATATTATTATTCCGTCTATTCAACTTAAAGTATTCAAAATTCCTTTTTTTGAAACATTTTCGGCATATTTAGGTTTGAGGGTAAAGAGAGAATTTTATGTTTTCTGAGTCAAAGTTTAGACCTCACCCCTCCCCCATTAAAAACTCCTGGATCCGCCCTTCAGTCGTCATGAATTTTCTCGGGAAAGATCATGATGGTGAGCACCATGAACCCTTTCTGTTCATAAACATTAAAGGACGTTTTTCTTTCCATTTACATAGAATGAGGATGGTTTTCTTACCGTTTACAAGTCGACCAAAACTTAACGATCCCGATGACTTTCTTTGGAAAAGATCAGATTCATACTTCGGAAAGATCTGAAAGATTGAGAGATTTCCCTCAGGAATGACGTTCTCACTCCGGTGCAGCAACTGAGGTGAAGTCGCGCCGATATATAAGTCACCTTTGTGCTATGTTAATAAGGCCCTAGACTCAGAATAGTCTTACCATGGATCGAAGCAGACTGTGAGCCTCATTTATAGGACAGCCGGAGGAAGAATCATCCGTGTGACGGTTAATAATATTCAGAGCGCGACAAGCGTCCAAGTGGTTGTTTAAAATGCTGAATGATTGCCAGTAAAATGCATAAAACGCCCCTAAATGGAGTGAAATGTACTTTAAGCACATTCTCGATACAAGCCGCTGTAACAGTTGACGTTTTTGTGTATAACTGATGAGAAACAGCTGATTTAATAGCAAAATTCAATTTTTAAAAAAAAAAACCCGTGTTGTACCTGAACAAGGATTTGTCTGTTGTATCACTTTTTGTCGTTGAAGCCTGAGTAGGTCTGATCTACTTCCCTTCGTTCAATACGAGCTAATAAATCAAACAGCTTGCATAAATGTCATAAAGAGAAAATTAGTCACAAGAAAATGATACTCTTTGAGCAGTACTTAATAAATTTGGGCGTCGCGCAAAACTTTGGGACGAGACGCGCCTCGCTTCCCAGAGTTCACATGACGCCAAAATATTTTTTCGCTGATTTCTTTCGACTCACGCGACGGTTTACGCTGAGAAATAAGAACTGTTCGAAGTGTAAAAGAAAATTTATGGCTCTAAGCCGTTCTAAAGAGGTAAGTACTCACAAACTATTCCTAGCACTCCCCGAAAGGGGCACCATGACTTGAACAACTCCTTTGTAATTTCCACGAGAGTTGACCGATTGCTTGGCGAGAGGCCGAAAGTCATCTGTCCATAACACATCGTAACGGTTCGACCTCGGCACGGATACGTTTCCTACGTCAGTTTGCCTGCATTCGTCAGCACAAGAAACATCGCTGAGCATGTCCGTTGACCGGGGAACAGCCCCTTGAGAGAGAGGCTGACTAACAGAGCATCAATGTGATTAATGAAAAGTTGCAATTGCGAGTGAAAATTAAATTACGTGGACAAGTCAAACGTTGGTTGATTTGTCCAGTTGAATCTCCGCTGCGCCTTGGCAATCGGATTATGCGGAAACTAATCGGATTGTGCGAAAAGGTATCTAAAAAATGACGACCATTCCAAGAATACAAAGAAAATTCCTTGGCCAGTCATATTCGTGCTACATCTCTCGAAGTTGATCTTCCCTTTATCTTCCATCGGTTTGAACTCTCGTAAAATCCCTAAATGAGATACGAGTAAAGTCTCTCTTCTGTTGCAAAAGCGAACCATTAATTTACCACTCAAGACACGTTGGCAATCGCATGATAATGACAGACATGACAAGAGAACACTTGAAAGATTTTATGACCTGCTGTAGATAAAGCAAACAAAGCAGGCTCCCAGTCAAACGTCAGACGAATTTACACGCAATGTGTGCGCAGATAATCCGAATCACGAAAGCATGTTTTCGGAATTTGAGAAAAATTTGCAAAACGGTAGGTAAATTTTCATTCTTAAATTTGGAGAGGACAAAAAATCTGCAATGAGCGAGAGCAGTCCACGTTATTCACGATTTTAATAACGAGATTCGTGTTTTGGTCGATTTCATGTACAGTTCATGCAGTTATTAATGTGTTTGTCGTTAGGGGCTAACGGTATTGACTGCGTAACAGTCATATTAGTTCCACAAGTTCAAACTATATTAGTGAGATGAGTTTTTAGAAGAATCATGATTGTTCTCAACTTCATTTAGTCTGTAGCAGAATAAAACCCTTAAATGAAGAAGCTCATTGCTGGAGGCATGCAGATATCAAGCTACTCCTCTCCCTCTTCTTATTATACAATCTTGTCCTGGGCGTGGTATCATGGTTAGTGACATGAAATATGCCATGATCTCTGATCTTTCACTCTGCTAATTAACATGATCATTTCAGTTTTTCAAGAAAGAAAGTTATTTATGAGGTGATTAGTCATGTTTCCGTCAATCGAATCTATCGACAAGCTCGTTCATTCTGCAGAGGGATGTGGCGTAGCTGTGCTCACAAAGGAATAAGTACCTAGTTAAAGCGAAATTGCCGTTTTTAATTTTCTTTGCATCCTCATTACTGGCAGTCTGATGGTTTTTCATTCCAATCTGGAAATGACGAGTTTCTTCAAGGGGTCTCTAAACCACAGAAATTGTAACTAATTAAGGTTATTTTCTGGCACTTTCAAACTACAGTTCTCTGTTAAGGGTTTGACTTTACCATAAAGTTCAAGTTTGTTTCATTTCTTTTATATCTGAATATCTCGAACACTCGGCGCAAAGTAATCTGGTGGTTCCTAACATTTGGCAGAGTCTGCTAACTCAATTTCACCAATTTTTTTTTTTTTTTTTAATATGAGCCGCTGAACTAATCTGTTTTCCATCACCCCTTTGACTGATCACTTTATTGCGTGAAATTAAAGGATCTTAGATAAGCACATTTGAAATTAGAAAAATTAAGGTCGAAGGCTATGATCTTAAACTGTTGTCATTACATTTCATGTTACAGGGCAATTTCTGAGATTCTTTTCACCTGAGATGGAGATCGGATGACATTTGAAAAGATGTTACTTTGAAATTGCTTGTGGCTGGATTATAATTTGTTTCACACCGCAACTCTTAGTTCAATTTGACAGAAGATGGCCCAACAAGTTCAATTCACACGCTTTAAACTGACAGAGATTACTTCAAAAAAAACTCATATATTTAAACTACAACAAAGGCGGTTTGTGATCGATTGTTATGGCATAGCTTTTGTCAAATTTTGACACAGTTTCTTTGGAGGCAACTATCAAACATCTAATTTAATTACAGATTTCTTTAAGTGGAGTTTACCATGATAAAAGTTTTCTTCCCGCATCGTTTAAAAGATGCATGTTTTTGTAATAATTTACATCTACTTTTCACCTTTCGACGATTAAACTGTAGCAAGCTGACTTAAATATCAGTAGCTGCAATGTCAGGATTTTTGTTATATTTCAAATTAAAATGAATGCAACGATGTAGAGGAGATGAATTATTTTCCATAGTCTTTGCGTGCAATAGAGACAGGAGCCCTTTCAAATTTTTTTCTTTAATTATAAAATATGCCTTTTGGGGCAACTGGTAGTCAATTAGCAAACGATTTTGGGGAAAGCCATAAAGATGTTATCGCTTTAAATCACGCCGAATCAGAGAGAGTTTAGATGCATTGCCTCAGGGGATGATTCACAAGTGGCTGTCAAAGAAATGACTCGTGACAGCAAATTATGAGCGGCCTCTAGAGAAGGAAAAATGATATTCGCTTGTGGTTACACGCAAAGCCACTGAGAGACGCAGCATCTAAACAGAACCAAAAATCTGTTCGCGACGGATATCGCAGCCATAAAAGTTGTTTTGACGATTGCGTCCACTTTTAAGTGGATTTAGCACATAAGACTTGTGTCATTTAGATATCTTCCTCCCCAATGCCTGCAAATTAAGAACTGAAGGGATATATTCAAAATGATCTGGATTACACAAGAGAAGAACTGGTCGATTGTGGTCTTCATTGTGGTCGCGTGCTTTTCATTTGGAATCACAAACCTTTCTGCTACAATAATCGTTGAAACGCAGTATGGCAAAATTATCGGCAAAACGACACAGTTTTTGGATGAAAACGACGGATTTCAAACCGTTTATTCATTTCTTGGAGTTCCTTTCGCCTCGCCGCCAGTGAATGAACTTCGGTTTGAACCTCCCCAACGCCCAGCTGCATGGAAGCCTCGAACATACAATGCAACCTTTTTCAGGAACGTTTGCCCACAAAAGAATTTTTCTTACTTTGAAAAATCAATTCGCAACGTTTGGCCAGAATTTTCGTGGGAAAATGACTCAAATGAAGACTGCCTGTATTTGAATATTTTCACTCCAGGAAATAAGCCATCAAATGCGAGTCATTTTCATCCGGTTATAATGTTTATTCACGGAGGGAGTTATGCATTTGGGACAACTGCCCGTCATACCACGCCCGGAGAGGTACTGCCCCGCTTGGGCGTTGTCCTAGTCACGATCCAGTACCGCCTCGGTCCATTTGGCTTTATGACTGCTGGTGATGGCGTTGCGCGCGGAAACTGGGGCATGTTAGATCAAGTAGAGGCCCTAAAGTGGATAAAAGAAAACATCGAGGTATTTGGCGGAGACCCGAACAGAGTGACCATATTAGGGGTGAGCTCCGGTGGGGCCAGTGTTGGCCTACACATCTTGTCCCCACTGTCAGAGGGGCTTTTTCATCGAGCTATAACCGAGAGTGGCGTGGAATTTTCACCATTTGCTTTTAATTCGGTGAAAAAAGCCATCGACAAGACGAACATCACTGCGGGGAAACTTAGCTGTGATACGACCAGTAGTAAAAGAATGATGGACTGTCTTCGAAGCAAAAGCGCTCAGAGTATCATCGACAAATTTGATTGGCGAAACACGGGGCCCATTATCGACAGGTATTTTATTTATGATACACCCAAAAATCTTCGCCGGTCTGGCAAATTCAACAAGGTTCCCCTTATAAGTGGCTTTAACAGCCATGAAGGCGCGCACAACACCCCCCAGGAATTTCATCCTCCAAGAGATATTACGACTTCTGTCCTGAGAGAATTTATCAACAACTTCGTGGAAAATCATATACTGCAGGACAACAACAAAACCGCTGTGATCATTGAAGACGCAATTGAATTCCAGTACACTCCATGGAGTAAAACGCCTGACTCACCCTCCCTCCGTCAAGAAATCGTCAACATTATGTCAGACTACTACGTAGCAGCTCCCACTCTGGGGGTGTTGGGGATCCATAGCGCGCTTGCTCCCACTTACATGTTTGAGTTCAACCACAGGTCTGCAGAAAGCGATACAGATGCCTGGATGGGGGTAGCACATGGAGAAAACACGCCCTACGTGTTTGGTGCGCCATTTCTGAACAGTACTGCGTTGAATTTCACAAATGAAGATCGGAATATAAGTCGCTTAATCATGACACTTTATGCGAACTTTGCCAAGTACGGGAACCCAACACCTCACCGGGTACATGGGGTCATCTGGGACAGGTTCAACACCGCTAGTAAGTTGTACTTACGTATTAATAACAGATCTCAAATGGGAGCTTACTACGAATCGCGTAGAATGGCGTTTTGGAACAACTACTACCCAAAGATACTGAACCTAACAAAACCAGAATCGCTTACGAAACACAGCGGGGATACGGATAACCCGAGAAACTATACCACATGCTCAAACATCGGTGTCAAACTATTCTTGAACACAGGCTTCCTCGGTTTTCTTTCATCTGTACTTCTTGTGTTGCCAAATGTCTTTATCTGATTTTGAAATTCTGTAGTAATCAACCGCAAGGTGAAACAGAATTATTCATTTACTGAAAAGCGGTTGGGGTTTATCTTCTCAAGGGCAACGAGTTTGCAGGACACTTCATCGTCAAAAGCTACTCCTAATGACTCTTGAAGAGCCAAATTTTAATTGAGTTTTTTTTATTTGGAACTGAGCAGAGCTAAAACCAGAAGTCACTGAACTGTAAAATGCTGGGAATACTGGAAGGAGAGTAAGCGATGCGCATTGTTATATACGGAAATATAAACAATTTATCCCACCAATTTTGAGAAATTTTCACCCTTGATGCCTGTATTTGACATCGGATACATTTTCCTGCCTGTATAATCCTAGTGATCTCTGGGAAAGCCTTAAATTCTTTTCACGAAAATACTTGATAGTTTATCAAAATATATACCGGGAGCATTTATCTCCGAAGGAAATACCGTGCCTTAACGTGTTTTCCTTTTAACCGGCTGTATTTGTGGCTTCGCCTAAATTTAAATTTCGATGTTGTTAATAGTACGTATATGTAACCTGAATTTTTAAGGAAAGAGCTTTCTGATGGAGTTTTAATAGTTGAACCGTATTATTACTTTTTGATCTTAATTATAGATCTTTTTATGAAAAACTGAAATGTTTAGAGACTGACAACGTATTATTATCAGTGCTGTTATTATCAAGTTCAATTAAAATGTTACTCAAATGCTAAACACAAGAAATCCTCACTTTAAATTAGTATTTCTCAAAACCAATATACAAACTAAACAAAATAAATGTTTCCGCGGACAAACATATCACATTCAATTTCGCGCACTTAGTTTCCCCTCCACTACTTTTTTCCTCTCTTCTTGCTCTGAGCTTTTTTTTCCTGCTTCGCGCGATCATTAAATACCTACGCGGACGATTTCTTACAAATTAAAGTCAAATTATGCGCTGAATAAACGCGGATTGAGTTGACAAGAATACATTCTACAAAAATATTGGAAACGCTACTAGAAATGAATTAAATATGAAGGCTAAAGGCACCAATATTAAGTTATTGTGTGCGCGATCTGCTCTTTCGCCCTATATCAACACTTGCAATTTCATCCTAATTTGTGTTCATCGTTTTATTAATTTCGGATGCTTTTGGCCGTGTAACTCTCAAAAGTGATTAAAATGTAACTTCTCCCCGTTAAATCCACACATTACCTGGCAAACAGGTAATGAGAAAACTCAAAACTTATCAGTAAAGAAGTTATCTTGATCTAACACCAAATTCTCGTAACTACCCATAACGAAATAATTAGCAGCTAGAGATGAGAATTAACAATCAGATCTCTTGAGTTAAAGGGTTAAACAGAGAGAAGCCTATTCCTTATCGGTAAAATTTCATATAGAGAGACTGCGGCACTCAAAGCGAGGACGAGTCTGTAATGTAGTGTGTAAATTACGATTTGGAGACAAGTGAAAAGCAGACAAAGTTTTAATCAAACAAAGTAAATATTTTTTTATTTGAATGTTCCTCGTGCTTACACACACCTACGAATGAACTTTCAGCAATTCGTCCTCTCTCTGCCTTCTATTTCATTTGTACAAAGCAAATACAACAAAAAAAATCCACTGAAAAAGTACTGTACGAACGCTAAACTTAGAAGTTATTACTAATTCTCGTGCCAATGACGTTGCATCACCACGTGGTCGCTTACTTTCTGCCAGAGCAACACGAGGTCGGGCAGGATGAGACACAAGTATGGGCGCACACTGGAGGACACGGAGGGGGTGGTGGTGGTGGAGGAGCAGGTTCTCCGGGTGGTCCTGGGGGTCCCTGGGGTCCGGGTGGTCCTGGAGGTCCGGCCTCTCCCATGGGTCCGATAGGTCCAACTGGTCCGGGAGGTCCCATTCTTCCTGAAGGTCCTGGGGGTCCTGGCTTAGCTGGCTCTGGTGGTGGTGGGGGTGGGGGTGGTGGCGGTGGTGGTGCTGGTGGCGGAGGCATACAACAGGACACCGCACAAGCGGGCGCACAGCTACCGGGACATCCTGGGGGACACGGGTTAGCGTTTCTTTTGTATGCTGCGGGAGAAAAACGAGAAACAAAAAAGACGTTTAAGTTCATTCGAGACTTCACAAGATATTGCGCTACTAACTGGTCTCAGACACTACTGTCAATTCCAATATTTGGAGTCAAAAATTTTAATAAGATTTTCATCATGGTCTCCTAAATAACTTATCATTGTTAATGCCAAAACTTGACATTTTATGAGTTCAAGGTCACAATATTTTATTTACCACGCTTATTGTGAAATATGAATTGAAAAATACCCCATACCTTACAAAGTCAGTTTTTGTCTAGTTAAAGATGCAAACAGTCTGATTTATTTCTAGTTATATGATAAGGAACACCTGAAGACACTCTTCAAATTGTAATCATTTATCGATTAACTCAAAACGACTCGGATATCGTTTGTAAAAGTTTGATTTTGGAATGGTAACCTAATTTTGGAAGTTGAATGAATTATAAATTGTCCAAAAAATGTTTTCACTTCTCGCTTCACTAACTTGCAGGTTTCGACGGGAACCCGCTTTTAACAAAAACTCACCAACCAATCAAATTTCAGTTTTTCGTAAATTGAATCACTTTGAGGGTCACACAAGAAGTAAACGAAAAATTACAACTTCTTAAAAAGTTCACAACGCATCTTCGTTTTAGTGTTTTCGTAAACGACTGCTTGAAGTCAAAGTATTTCGAGAATAAGTACGAGATAAATGTCACAGCTTCAAATATAATTGAAATACTTTGTTTGATGATTTAATCGTATTATCTGGTTACGATACATTCACAACTTTGCGCTCCAATAATCAACTTTAAACAAATATCTTAAGGTTGATCGATCGAGAGCAGTTTTACTTTATAATTCACCGATCATCAATTATTCATCACCTGGCCTTTTGTCGGTTCACAGAAGCGGCTTCTGAGAGGAATCTCTCATCGCCTTTTTTTAATATCTTCAAAATCTGCTCCATTTTAATCACAGATGAAATCTGTTTGGTGTAATAATTTTCCGCAGGCATAGCAAACTCATAAAGGTTATAACCATTTGAAATAATCTTTGATGGTGTGCCATTGCATTGCTCATATCTAGATTAAATTTTACTACAGCGAAGGTGCTTGACGAGGAAAAAAAATTAAACATGAAAATGTAACTTACTTGATCTAGCATAAGTTGATGCTACCATGAGCGCTAAGCATCCTAGGATCAATTTAGACGCCATCTGAAAAATAAAGACATAGACATATGTCATAAAACTTGTCCATTTTATATCAAATTCAAGCTGTCTACAATTTTGAACAAATCCTTTAAATGATTTTTAGACTTGCTTCCAAATTAACTTCCCCTATTTTGTGACTTTACATCGAAGAAAATTAAGAATCACAAGTTGTTCTCTTTGTACGGTTTTTGCTTTAAATTTTTTTTATAATTTTCCTGACTTTGAAATGATAGGCGTCAAGAGACCCTATGTTCCCACCTATAATCATTAAGTTTACCTGACTATTACCTATGCGAAGATTCTTAGTCAAGGTCAGTTAGGAAATAAAAAAGATTATCCAACTCAATTCCCTACCTCTGGATCCCAGCGAAGCGATCTTGAAATGTGCTTGAATAAAGCTCCTTTCTGATTTATACCCTGGAAGTCATCAATTATACACAAACTCGGACGTGTTATAGCACGCTCTATAGTTCTCTTTGTTCCTCCCTCTTTTGTTATTTACTGAGGAATTTAACGCAGCTATGCCTTGAGCGCATGCGCTAGAGGACTTGTAAAAGTCGCGGAAAATAGTGGTATCATTTAGACTGAAATGACTGAAATAAAAAATCGTAATAGAAAATCCGAAAACTCTGTCTAAATGTTGGTTGTAATGTTGGTACTTCGGTTAAATATTGTGTTATTTCTGATATCGATTACACCAAAGTAGATAAAAATTCTACCCCTTGGAAACCTGTCAAAAGTGAATTATTTACAAGTTGCAAAACCAGAGACTCAGTCAAACGAAACGCCATTCTTTATTCTCTATTGGTTGTCTCGCTGCTTTCCCAGGAGCCAAACAGGTGTCAAAAAACTGGCACCATTATCTTCAATAAACAACAGAGCAAGTGCCCCTTTCTCCTCTCGTGTTACGCTTCAATTCCTTGGAAAAATCACCAGTTGTCAAAATTTTCACTCCAGCGATTTTGCGTTCCTCTCGATCTGACGAAAAAATGTTTGACAGAAAAAGAAGAATGCATCGCACAATTATCTCTTCTGATCGAGTCGTTTTTACTGAAGATTCCAGTTGTTTTAACGCGAATTTTTGTAAACATTTCAACCCCATGACGCGGTTTGACGCTTTATTGGTAAACATTCCCCCTAAACTCTGGGACATTTTTTTTTTGAGGGTGGGGGTGAGGTTTATTTGGAGCCGTCTGACACAAATTTGTGTGGAGTACAACTTTAAAGAAATAAGTTTATTTTGCTTGATTTTCATGTTAGCTCATTTTATCGGTAACACTGTCAGTTTACTTTTCCAGGTGATAGCTTTTTTGTTAGTTGAACCAAGCAATCCTTTCAGATTGGTCGGAATTCAGATAAACAAATGTTCCTTGCTTGTGGCCACTTGGTTCTTTACTTAGAACCACACATCAAAGGTAAACGTATATGATTCATCGTTTAATATCGACGACTGGATAGTAAACAACACTGAAGTACTCTTCCATAGGAAATTGCGCGCGCTGGGTCGCAAGGTCTCCAGAAAGCCACAGCAAATGTTAGAACGCAGTTTTATACATGCTCAAAGATTTTTCATCGTACGGACTTAGGCTTCGCTGAATTGTGATCAAAATAAACTATGCCATCGACAGATATACACTCAATTTTCATATCCGGCCATCGAATCTACGTTCAGTGTTTTGAGACTGTGCTTGGTGTTACAGTCAACAGAATTCATCTAACTAAAATTTCGAAACAACAAAAAATAAACGTCTTTGCAAGAGTGAGTTTCCTTTAAATTAACTTCCGTCAAACAATGAAACACCGTACTTTTAAACAGCAAGAACATGTGGACAATTCCTCTCGCATGATCATCCAATAAATCACGTTCCCCGTCAATTCAAGCCACTAAAGAACAGGCTGTAATTTTTATCAGCTTTTACTTCTTTAATATCTCGCGTCTTTCAAATGCGAGAAGTTCCGTCTGGTGGCACACAATTGCCCATGATGACAACAATGTTTTTCACACAGGGTGCATCAAAATTGGTGCATTACACAGCAATTCGTTATGTATCCTTTGTCTACAGCGTTAAGAACTGTGCAGATGGGTCAATAGATGACGAAAAATACGGATTCTCCTGATCAAGCATTCGCAAAAGCTTTAATCTGTGACAGAAAACACTACCAGGCTTCTAGCAGGTGAGCACGTGTGACACCAAAATAACGTATCTCATTGGCTCAGTGGATTTTGCGCCAAATTTGATCAGAAAAACACCCGTTACCTTAAAAGGCCAGTGGTTAAGGAGAGTGACCCTTGAAATTTTGCTTAAACATGACTAGTGCGGGTACAACGATTAATATGCCACTCTTTGAAACGACGTGACTAATGTATTATTAGGCGTGGACTTTCTGAACAAAGTAAAATATAACAAAAACAAAAGGAAACTGGGATTTTGAAGTTTATTTTCCATTGGTCGGGCTAGAACTCAATAGATAGAACATATAAATTGGAAATTATACATGGAAATTATCGGGTTTATAATACAACGACCTTATTTAAGTGAGCCTCACAAGACTCTCAAGTAAGTTGGTACATAATATATATGTTCAAATTGAACTTGGAACAGTCCCTTCATGACACGCGGTCATGCGAGTCCGCGAAACCTGGAGGAGTTTGTAAACGTCCTGCACTTAACACGTCGTGGTCACGTTCCTTTCATGAGCAGAGGCGATCATGTGAATAGCACAAGCCTCGCATTAAGTTCCTCTGATGCCCAGGGCTTGTTCCAGCTCGGCTCTCTTCTGTTGTACCTGAATTATATTAACAAAAAGAAATTCAGAACTTTGGCTCTGCAAATTGACAACTACAAAGCATTCTTCTGTGTCATAAGGTGCAAATACTACGAAGAGCAGTCTACGAAAACAATTTTCAGAGTGCGCTACTAATAATCATTTGGCCTGAACAGATTAAAAGTTTTTGGGTGATCATTACCTTTCCATAAAAGTAGCGGCAAACTGCTTCTTGTGACCAGGGAAGATGAAAGAAATCAGCTCTCCGCTCTTCTTCTGGATTTCCGACCACATCAGTCATAACCTGAAAGATGACAGGAATTTCAACGTGTCACAGGGAAAACAAAAGGTGCCGCAGGATACCTAACTAATATCACAAAAAGAACAAACTGCAGCCACAAGAAGACCAGCCAATGCCGCACGATAAACGAGTGGTGTCACGGAAGAGCCAACCACAGTCACATTATAAAACAACCAATATCTTCTTCAATGAAGATCAACCAGCTCAAAAGAGAGAACTTGAGCACCAAGCACTCCCACAGTGAGAACAAACACAGTAACCACCAACAAATTTCAGGATACCTATAATAGGCTGAGGTCTTAAATCAACTAAATTGCACAACCTTGTTGATATATTTACCTTGAGATCTTGACTTTGGGACTGTATCCATTGATTGATAAATTCCTTAAAAACAGATACCAAGGATATGTGTCAGTGCTACCAAACAAAACTGAATACTATAAAAAGAAAAACAACAAGTTGCAACAGCATAGTCATGGCATTTTTTGTATTGTCATGTACCATTTCTCCCAAAAAAGGAAAAGTGTTTCATGAAATTGTTTCATACGTAACAGAGCAGTATACTCACTGGAGGATCTCTTGCAAACCCAAGAAAGAATTCCCGGTTAATCTTCAACTGATTGATTGTCTCAACTGTCTCATAAATCTGCAAAACAAAAAAAAAAAAAAAAAAAAAAACAAAAGGAATGATTCAGAAACTTAATTTCAACGGCAGTTTAGCAAAAGTAAAAACTAACGATACTGTTGGGTTTATTTTTAACTCTTCAGCTCAATGATGGGAAACTAAAAAATCTCAGCTCACCTTGTTGTCATATGCAGTGATCTCATTCTGACTTGCAGTAGAAAGAAGAAAAGACTGCATCTGAGCCTTGAGTGTGTCATCCTTCAACAAGAAATTCAGAAATTATTGAAACAGCAAACCAAGCACAACATTTGTAAACACAACCAGTTGATTTATAGATACATAATTTGTAAAAAGGTTGCTGTTACTTAAAGGTTTTCTAAGAACTTATCCCAATAATATCCTTACATTATCTGGCAAAAAGGTAACTAGAGTACTCAAACTCAAGTGGAAGTTGTTATCTTGATCTAACATCAAATTGTCTGAACTAATGTACAAGGAAATGTGTAGCAGTAGAGAGAATTAACAATCATATCTTGAGAATTAAAGGATTTAACCTACAATAAAACTTAGAAGTGATTAACATGTAACTGTAACTTCTCCCAAACATATCCTTACATTATCTAGCAACAACAGAGAGGAGAATCAACAATCAGATCTTGAGAATTAAAAGGTTAAACCTACATTAAAACTTTAACAATTAATTACAGCAAGAATGACATGACAGATATTATAACAGAGATATGGTGCTAAGTAAAATAAAACCAAACTGTTTAACTTACAACTTCTACTTCAATGTCATAGCAAGTTGTTCTCTTGTTTTCAGGTGTTTCTTTGCTATGAGGAAAAGACAACTGATTAAATTAATGATTCAGTAATATTTGTACCTGAAAAATTATGCTAAACTATTCCTGTTGTAGTTTGATTATATTAGTTTTCATTTTGTTTGAAGTTTTGTTCCCATCCATGCTATACAGGAATGGGAAAAAAATTGAAAGATAACCAGTTTGACAACTCCTAAACAAAAAGGAACAACAGAGCTATCACTTATACCTCAGCTGATGGAGGATACTATAGTTTACCTTATAAGGTGATGAATAACAATGGGATCTGGAGGTAATAACAAGGAACTCAAACGCTGAGGAATCTCACTAAACTTCATGCGATTACATTCAAAAATCTGAAAGCAAATAACATTGAATCAGTTACCATACCAATGACCAAATTTGATTTAACAAAACTTGCAGAGTTTTCATGGTATAAAGAATTAAATGCATAGTCATGTTCTCATAGTATTTCTGAGTAGAAATAGGTGGAGATGACTAAAGAGAGTTTGGAAGTTGAACATCAGATCTGACCTGCTGAAAGTATCTGTCACAGTTTATGTACTCCCTCTCATGAGAATCTTGCAAGTTGTGACTCTGAAAGTAATTAAAGAAAAAATAACATTACCTAAGGTAGCAGAGACATTTAAATCTTAATCAAGAGGTTTGGGTTACAACAAAATCTGTTGAAACTGTTTACCCACAGAGTCAAGCTCACCTTAATATACTGCCATAAAGCATTGACAATCACCGGCCTTGTTTGAGTGTGAATACCCATAAGCCTTGCTAATCTGGGATCCAGTTTGTACTGTGGAGGCTAACAAAACAGTTTATGTTTTGGTAGTTACAAGGTTATGATACAGTAATCAATTAATTAATTTACTACTGACATCTGATTTATACCTCTTACC